TAGTTAAAATGGTACCATTACGTAGTAATTGGTCGTTAATTCCAGTAAAAGTTTACTTCTGTTGACTTATATCATCTTCTTATAAGAATGACAACCATAGAAAATAAATACGTAAGCGAAGAAAATATTTACAACACGAAATCGGCTTAGCAAGCATAAAACAAACAATGAAAATGGCCTAGAAGAAATTAACCGTGGAAGGCTAACTAAATCCCATGAAAGTCTTGTGAGATATTTTTTAACGTGGACTCTTTTAATGGAAAATTTCGTGCGAGCTTTCAAAGAGTTTTGCCTTCCAGAAATCGTCAATTATAAGAACGTGCCGACGAAAAGTTGTACCACACTTATCTGGGAGGATAACAGCGCTGACTCGGTACATCGGCGAGCCATCGATAAACATTGTATAGGCCAGAAATGCATTCAATCACCACTAACTATCCTTCACGAAGTCGAATGCTTAGCGCAACCCTCAGAAAGTGATCAACGCTGAAAGCTTTATCATTTCACCCTTTAGTAACAAAATTAGCTAGTGTTATGTTTCCATTGCATTAGAAATTTTGAGGCAATAACTAGTGTCTATTTTCTTCGAGTATTTTGTGCTAAGAAATTCTTCACCTCGTAGGAACCCTTTTAAGAAAAGATGACTTCTGTGTGATAGTCACCTGAAATCCGATAGCTCTTCAAATTCCCTGCGCGCCTTTGGTATGTCTAGTCTCTAATGGATTCTAGCTGGTGCTGATGACGTTTTATGTCTGCTCATTAGTGACAGAAGACGTTGCCACGGAAGCGGAATGGTAAAAGGGCACGGCAGGATTACACCTCGTAGTAGCTCGGGTCCGCTTTGCTACGCTGTCACGACGCGCGTGTAATCTGGCAATTAGAGCGCAATTGTTAGCCTTTCCAAGCATGTTCTATAATCACCGAGCAGGCAATATGTTTGCTTTAGCTCTTTAGAGGAAACCAATAACAAATTCATTACTCACCTGTATGGAAAAAAAATTTTTCTGACTCTGATAATCGAATTAGTTAAGTAAATGAGCGTAATAGGCTTCGTGTTACAACATTCAACTGTTTCGCTGTATAAGATTCCATTATTTTCTCGGTGAAACTATGATATTCTACAGTTAGCCGTGATACTCTAAGAACAACAAGTATCAAAAGGCTTTAAACTTGAATGTCACCGATAACGTGGAGAAGTCACCACACATTCAACACCAGAGTCTCACTATTCCACTTTTCAGGATGCGTTGTTATTGAACACTCTGTGTTGCCCAGTTGACATCATGAATGATTTGTGCTTCGGTGATGACTTTGATGTAGCTGTCCGTTGTGCGGCTATCGCTCATTAATAGTCTCAAAATGTTAGCTTATACATGTGCACGTGTTAGTGATGGCCGGATACGTTCATTCTGGATGTGTTGTGAACAGTATCCATATTGGAGAGCGCATATGTACTGACTATGTCCAACTGCAAGTGCAATACCATGACCAATCTCCGTTAATTTCGCTATCGATGACAATAGCGTGATTCTATTGTTATCGAAAATCGTGACACAAAGCGCCCAAAGTGATTAATATAGGATAGCTTTCATACCGCCATACCTTCAGAGTATGCTGTGACTCACTTCTTCGCTTCTTTCACATCGTCTAACCTGACAAAACTGTTTTTCACAGATAGTACTCTCCTTCAGATCATAATCCGTTTTTTCATTTCCGATAGAGAAGAATACCATGTTAAATTCAAGCTCAGTTTTATGCATGGTTGCAAGTTAGCAACTAAGAGTAATCCTCTTGATTACGGTTTCGGCAATTGTGGTTGACCGACCTGTGGACTATGCAATTGGCCTGCGAACAATGGCGCCAGACTAATTAGTAGGGGGTTGGGCACCCCGCATAGAGGCTACGGTGGCACTTTGGTTTCCTTCCAGGTACGCCGATTCTAATTGCAGTGCAGACCTACTGCCGCTCTTGATTCGTGGATATCAGATTCACTCTGCCAGAATTGTGTATCGTTGCACTGGACCTATATCTAAACTATACACGAACAATTGATATAACAAGCGATTATTTTATTTCTACAATGAAAAACTCACATTTAGAATCCACTTCTGGCAACTTTCTAGATAATTTGAATTCAAATCCACATTACATTTAACTAAGAAGTGCGGCTGCATTGTAACTTGAAACTTATGGAACTTGTTAAGCAGAGGCAATGAAAGAATTGTCGGTATAACATGCAGAACAAAACAATTGGCGCATCGATGTTGAATAAACACTGGCGCGTTGGCGTAATCATCAAAATGCAAACAAGCAATGAGATTAATCAAGTTGAGCACTTGCGAATAAAGACTGTGACCGCATTTCAATTTTTTAACAGTGAAAGTAATCACAAAATGTACTCGAATGCATCTTCTGGTAAGCTCTCACATAATCGTGGTAAAGCGGCACGAGGAATTACCGCCGTTCTGGCAAAAACCCTGTTTCAGAAAACAAGGTCTCTGTCTTGCTCACAAGAGCCAAGCGATTTACTGTTGTGAAAACCTCAGAACACCTGAGATGAATGTCTCAAAATCTCAGGACAAAGCTTGCTTAGTCATCAAAATGCGAGACTAGGAATTGTGCCGGGACTTGTATTCGTTAAAACGTTCAATTTAAATACCAAGATCAGACAGTAGCACGTACAAATCACTTCTTAGTCGAGAATAGTTTTAGGCCTCTAGTAGCAATAGAGCATTAATGATACCCAGAAACGGAATCATGGAGTGCTATAGAACTCAGCATTTGCAACACCTGTAATCTATTCCTCTGTAATTCTTCTGAACTCCTTCGCAAACGCTCGCTCTCACTCAAATATATCAGTTACCAGGAATGGAATGTTGTTCGCTCGCACGTGTGAACGTGATTCCTTGTGAGTACGGTAGGAAATGAGGCGCAAATTGGTGCACGTGTACGATAGTCAGGAGTGGAATCAAAACATGATTAGCGGGGTGGTTCAGGACTCCCCGCGGCGTTTCCTACTCGCTCACTGCACCGCTATGGTTGAAGCACACGCAAATATTGAACACACCAAGCAATTTATCAAGAGCAAATGACAAGCAGAAAACTTCACAAGCCTACAACAAAGTACCTATGAAAAGCAATAGCCTCGAATTGCCCCTTTAAGCGCACAAACCATAGAGAAATTTCACATATTTGATATAGAATTGAACTGATGCTTCATCGCACAGACCGCGATTCTGCAAATTGAGTAACCTATATGCAGTAATAAAAAGTAGAGAACACTGAAATCTCTGTTAAAGCCCTTGAAGAGCTGGCCTCACAGTGGATGGGTTTGAGGTCAACGCATTGAATGCGGCGATTGTTTGAAATCGATGATGCCTCGCTATTATTTAATGATCGTAGTGATTTATTGCTGCATAACCTCGTTACTGACGATTTTTCTCGCCATTTTCTTCGTCGTTTTTTGGCCACAAAGTAAGGATGCGTTCCGAGTGCGCAGCACTGCACGGCTTTTTGCCGAGTTTTTCTTCTACGATCGGTGTGATTACGAACACAAAACCAATGCGACAATTATGATTCAAACGGAGAGGAAATGATATCACAAAGACATCGCTTCCAACCTCCAACAGCGAGACATTTTCCAGCATGGGAAAAGCTCCTACCGAGAAGCGGTTCGCTTTGAACATCTCACGGTGAAGCTCCTTCAGCTGTTAAACACCGAAATTGTCATTGGCTACCAGATTTAAGAAGACCATAATGGATCAAAGTGAAGTACAAAAGAACTTTGCTTTGCTCTGAGACCATGCGTCGTGAGCGCAGGTCCGGCTCGCTGTCTTCACAGAATACATAGAAATATGATCCGATCTCACAGCGAATCCCGATGGTCAAATTTTAGTCAACTTCATCTACATATACACATGTTTATGTGTGCATGCATTTGTACATATATGCATGTACGTTTGCGTATATATATATATATATATATATATATATACATATATATATATATATATTATAAAAATCTCTTTTGCATATCTTAAGAACAACCCTTTTTACTAAAACTTTTATACAAAAATATGGCAAGGTTTTTCATGTACGTCAAATTTAATTTATCAGGGCACTAAATAAGAAAGCGGTTAGGCACATGAGTTCGTGTGAGCGGCCTTTGCTCGATGGCATTGAAAACTCCGAGATTACGTGTCAAAAGTGTCATGATGAGAAATGCTCCTACGGTGCTGTCAACTAGTAATGCACATCTGCTGTCTCATAGGTTTGAGACATTCTCCCATGTGTTGTATCATCCAATGGCTACCGCTCAATTGTCACCTAACAGTGTTGAAAATAATGACAAGTACTCTTACAATCCGCACCACTATAAAATATTCCCTTTTATTATACGTCATATACTGATTTAACAAGACTATACATATACATATATATATACGTATACATATATATATACATATATATATACATATATATATAGCTCAAAATAAATTCATACGCATCAAAACATAAAGCTAAGCTGAAGGAAAATGGTCATAAAATAACCTTTCTCATAGAATCTGCGAGCATTAATAGTTCAATAACCTTTGTCCTAAGAATAAAACTCAGAAGAGAAATTTCATAAGCACAGAGAGAAAACTGTACACAAGTAAAGCCATATACCACATCTTTCGAATAATCTTTTGCGTTATTCTACACCCAATATGAGAGTAGTGCTCATTATCCACTGCGTACCTTATGGAATACTCAGCCAGGAGGTATGATATGACACTGAGACTTTATCACATACACAATAAATATAGTTGTGAGGCAACTGAGTTATTTCAGCCAGAGTTTAAAACAAACACTAGCAGTGGCACAGTTAGCGAACTCTTTTTGAGGACGATCTTCGGTCACTCTACTAGTTATTTATAAAGGGAACGTCAATGAAAATACAACCCAAAAGGAAGAGTGAATCTGAAGTTTAGGTTGTCCTCGGAAACCCGTGGGCTCGCCTACGAGGTGACATGAGACTGAGGCATGGTTTGTGTAAGCCCCATGCTTTCCAGGGATGAATATGAGAGTGGATTCGAATACATCGAAGTCATTGGATCTTTAGAGGGGTCATAAAACGCCCGAAAATGACTAGGATCCAGTGAGATCTCTGAGTTCTCCGGAGATGCTTCAACTTCGGCCTTGACCACAGGCGCTGGGGTGAGGTAGTTGACTGGATAGGCGGTAGCCAGAGAAGACTGCGTGTACTGTGATGGAGAGCTTTCGAGATAGGGCAGTTGATTAAGCATTTCGTAACCCGTTCGTGGGTAGAGACCGTAAGAGCCATCAAATGGATACCCGCTGCCTCCATTCCATGATGGCACCGAGTTGTACACCTAAAACGGTAAATCTTATGCCCATTTTATATATTCGCATTCGTACCAGATTAAACCAAAGTGGTTGTATGTGGTGGGAAATCGATGAAGAGGGGTGAAGTATTCAAGTGAGTGGGTCGAGAACAAAGCAGCATTCAGACGGCGCAGTGGCGCAACATTGATTGTGTGAAATGCACGCACCAGTTGGACAAGTCCCAACAGTATCATCAGCTACTCTTTATTCTACTGCCATTTCCCATGAGGCAGCATTACGACCGAATGAGGCGATTCTCGGGTAAACCGAAAGACAAACCTGAGGCTTGAGAGGATCCAATGCGGAGAATGGCCCCATTGGTAGCGGCTTTTTCTGAAGCGCTTTGGTTTTTCTTCGTGGACGGTACTTGTAGTCAGGATGTTCCTGAACAGTTTTATAGTTAATCGTTAATTGTGCTAAATAAATAATTAATTTACTACAAAGAAAGCGCGAACTGCCGTTGTTACCTTCATATGAATGGAACGTAATCGTTTAGCTTCATCTATAAATGGCCTCTTTTCTGTGTCGCTTAGGCATTTCCATTCGGCTCCAAGCCTCTTGCTAATTTCAGAATTATGCATCTTTGGATTTTCCTAAAACGTTTGTTATTAAACGCCCAAACGCAATATCAAAATTATCGAGCAATAAAACTTAAGAAAATTTAAGTTAAGGCGAAGAATTAGGGCAATAAATGAACCTGCGCCATTAGTCGACGTTTACTCCTACTCCAGACCATGAATGCATTCATTGGGCGTTTAACCCTGAATAAATGTCTAAATATTTTTTATAGGTTTCTTTGAGAAAGTTAACTATATCCTTCCAGTTTCCAATCATGTTTTTCTAGAAAAAAAGTATCATCTTCATGTCCAGTAATTTCTCAAAACTGGCCTCAAAATCTGCTTTAAAAATGAAGAAATAAGAACAAGAATTAGTAAAATAGTTATAGCACAATAGGCCAACTTATAATTTCTTACACTCCAAAATTTTGTGATTCAAGAAAGCAACTTTCATTGAATATTGGTTGGGTAGGCACATCAAGAAGCTAATATATGATGAATAATTGTGAAGACATAGAAGTTGATCAGCTGCAGCATACAGTAACGAAACGGTTGTGAACGAATGAGTAAAAAGCATGTCATAAAAAGGCCGAACAATAATCTAAAAAATTTTACCAGGAAACTTCAGGCAAAAGATACCTGTCGTCGCTCTTTTTGCCGTCTTTAGTTGAGTCTGGTGAATCGGGACCGGGAGAGAGATCATCAGGAAGGCCCTGAGCAACTAATTGACTTGTTGACGTCGGTGGCAGATGAAACCCACCCATTCCGGGCCATATCTGATTGTAGTCGGTCATCTGCTAAGCAAAAGTAAAAATTTATCAGGCAACCGAAAGAAGGACGGTGATCTGGATTGACACTTTGCTAACCTGCTTGAGTTCGTGCTCCATCATGCTCATCATCGCAGATGATGGAATCAAATAGATGTGAAGAAAAAAATCACACAATACGGGATATTATCGGTAAAGGCGGAAAGGGCTCGACACCACCACACCAACACAATAGAAGATCGGCGCCTGAGTGCGCTCCAACAAAAGTAGGCGGTGCGGCCAGAGTCTACCAATAGGAGACGCAAGAGGCGTGGCTTCCCTACCGTCTAAGCAGACGACGCCTGCAGGTGCTAACGAGATTCGGCGGTTGTGGTAAGAGTTCTAATGCTGATGATGGGAAATATCACTTGTAATAAGCGCCAAATGAGAAATATGCCCGAACACGTTGGTCGTCATGTACTGCCCATATGTGCACAATTATGCTAGCAAAATATACAAAGCACAAAGCGAGAAGAGATTCTAGGAATAGCACTGTAAAATAGGAATACTTTCAGGAATAGAAAAAATTGAAACATAAACGAATATCTCTTAACGAGCTAATATGCAAATGCCACGTCAATTAGCTTTTTGTAGAAAAGGGCTTCACATAACGTACAAAGTTGTGATGACCTGCGTAGTAATTAAGACAGAAAACGAAGCGAAAATAATGCTGCTGTTGAAAAACTGGCAAATTTTCAACTATAGGCTGTGAAATATGGCGAGTGAGGCTGCAATTGAACTGGCAGCTGTAGACACAAGAGTACATTGACACAGTGGAGACGGGAGTAATGGCAATGCGTTGACCATGCAGAATGTTGCAATTGACACCAAAAACTGCCACAAACTTTCTTTTGGTGTTTGTCTGTGGTAAAACAGAAACACAGATATTCTCTTAGCTGCTAACACCAGTATTACACAAACAAACAACTCTTAGCCGTTAACATCAGTATTCCACACATATACATGAATATATATTCACACTACACACACACCTACATATATACACACACACATTTCTGCACACATATTTTACATACCTACGTATATATACATGCATACCTACCTACACATACATAGAATGCATAAATACAGAGATATGTTACATGCACACATACAAGTATATATACAGCCGTACATACACACATGCATACATGAATACATATACACATAGATACATGAATATAAACACATATACACGCATACATACATACATACATACAAACATACATATTTGCGTATACGCATGTACAGACACTTAATATACACATATCCACATTTTGACCTTTTGTAGAAAGCGGTTCACATAGTTTATATCTGTATCTCTATTTTGAAGAACGAGAATGACGCGAAAGTAATCCACAATCCGTTTAGGCCATGAAGGCCGCGACTCTGAAAATCCCTTAATCGCGCGATAATCTTATGATGATTCGGTGCACGGAGGTGTTGCCAGTTGACTGCTGACGGTTTCGAAAAGATAGATGTATGACATCCCATTCGACTAGGGTCCAGAACAGTTACAATGATGCGAATCAGATGGAAGAGATTAGAATCCAGCCGGGAACTCCCAATCTTTAGTTGCATCCTCATGAACGTGGATAACCGCGCACTTATGGATAGAAATTGTAGAACCGGATAGGCCTATTGGAGCACGATGGCTCATTTCTATGCCATCTATAAGTTCTTACTTCCTCTTTACGTCCACCCACTCTTGCTCAGTGTTTGTCAAGACGAAGTCAACTCATGTTTACCCGGCAGTAAAGCGGGATAGATCGATTCAACGAAACTACAGTATGCCAGTTGTGGCAAGAAGTCTCCCCAATGCTCATTAGTGATGATCGACACAAATATGCCAGCTAGAATAGATAACTAGACGGTGATGACTGACCAAGAAAATAATAGCACATTTTCAAAAATTTTTTCTCTATCCAATAACCCGCATCCGAATTGTTGGATAAATAACGGATAGCACGAACATATTCAGGGAAATTGAAAGCTGCTAAAGGTGTACTTATCTCTGAAATGCGAAACAGGTGCTATTGTTGTGCCAATAATTGTGACTATTAGTTTAATTGGGTATAAAACATTGAGCCTTATTAAGCAGAACGTTCGTAAAACTACATTTAGAGGCCAAACAGATACTTTCAAAACAAGGAAAAAAATTCGACTGAAAACAAACCAAAGAGTACTTTTCACAAATATCCTAACTCTGAATCTTCCATGTAAATCGCTACAGTTGTCGGTTATAAAATCGGTTAGTTAAGCACAATGATACTACTGGAGGAAAATCTCAATCAAATCGAATAGGAAGCTACATACCTAAAAGCAAAATTTTAATTCCACATTTCCATGAACGAAATCAAATATTATGAGGACTCCATACGGCCGCCTTCTCCATGCACCTGTTACTATAGTGGAAATAGTGTGGCAGAGAAGGTTACGTTTCAAATATTTGCCCATATACATTCAATGATTTTAAATCAATAACACAAAAGTTCACAAATGCGACAAATTATGTGCTTTCTTTAACATTTTTATACGTACACAAAATCTTATAAACTGACGATTAATGAAGATTGGATATTGATGATTACTGTATGATGGAAAGTGTTCTCATTGTGGACAAATGGTCAAAAAAGGCTGACAGTCGTATGAGTTGTCCTGACATATTTCGTAACGGGGGTTGTTACTTCATGCTGATATCAAGTAATGGACGTATGTTTGGATGTGCTAATAAAGACGACATATGCAACATGATTAGCTTGGTGGTGCGAGAGGATGTTCGCATAATAAGCCTGAGTATAACACAAGGATATTGGCCAGATTCTACATAAAAACGTTGCCGGTAGACCCAAATGAATTGCGGTCGGTTTTTTTATCGATAGCAAATCGATACTACTTATTGCATTGTATCACATTATGCTAGAATGTCGCACAATACTGTCAGTTGCAGTTGTATATAATGTGAACACGAGAGGTTTAGAAACCAGTTGGAGGCTTCAGTAATAGTAGCAGTTAATCGAAAAGAACGCCAACGATGAGCAGGAAGGTCTGCCAGATAGACCTCTCATTCATCTGGTATTCGCTGCGTAAACTTCAAGTGCAGATGGACACTCCGAAGATAATACTTCTGTTTGAAGCCATTTTTATGATTTTGTGAATAGTATAAAAAGCCAGGGAAGAAGGAAAATCAGCAAGTGACGAAGCCTTTTAAGAAAACTTTTTGGTGGTTACTAGTTGTAGCCTGGTGAATTTGCGACGAATAGTGAGGATCAGTTGAATTCACAGTGACGTGTCACTTCAAACAGACAAGGTCAAAACGATCAATGCTCGTCGAACCTTGAACAGACAATTGCACCGTAAACGACTATTTCGAGAAAAGAATTCGGAATGAGACTCGATCTAGAGGTGTACTCGATTGATAGTGTAGGAATTTTTACCATGCAGGGAGAGACCGAAGCAAATTTTAAAAAGCATGAGAACAGCAATGTTCTTCACGTTGCATAGAAGTGTTCCATTGTATTCAGGAAAAAAGTGTTGATTTGATTGGGCGAATACAGTATAGCGAATTATCACAGTTGCTCAGGGCACCGAGATCCCGAAAGACCGCAAATTGAACTGTGTTGAGAACAATTTATCAGTAGCTCGGCTGATCTCGGGGCGACCGAAATCTACTGTAGCCTATAGCCAACACCAAATAATGCGGTATGAATGAAAAAGGTGCCGTGCAGACGCATATGGTTAAGAAAACGTCGACACTGCGCCGACGGCAAGCACATACCTGTAACTAGCGTGTAAGAACACGCTAGCGAAAATAAACTACAGTTGCGGACAACGAATATAGGAAAAACAGCCGAATTAGTGATATTCCAGGACAAGAAACACGAGCGAAGGGCCGTGCGCAAGGGCGACGACGAGGAGACGGACCGCCGCAGGATTTCTCTCGCACACTCTGTATAATGGCTTATGCGGCGCATTGTGGACGCCAATCATTACAGCGCATTGTTTCTTTTCAATCCACCGCTCCATTCCCTCTATTCAGTCTTTTGTATTCTCTTTCAAAGGCGGGCGAGGCACACTCACGCACCAGTCGTCTTCCCATCACACCCTATTCAGAGCCACCCTGACCACGCCTCAAACCATGGCCAAGCACACCCATCAACGTCATCACAAGTGCTCAGATTGTCCAAAAAAACCTTTTATTTACTGGAGCAGCTTACGAATTTTAAAAAAAACAGGCTGAATACTAAAACTAATCAGCAACGAGTGATTCAGAGTGGTAAATTAACTCATCTTCAAAGGCTACGTAGAGGGGTCGATTATTCGTTGCCAAGTGCAATTCGGATTTTTCACATTGTATTGTATAACAACTACAATGTTAATGCATGAATTTTTCGTGTATAAAACAACGATTAGTGAAAAAAAGAGGCGTTAGTGGAACTATGTAAAGACAACAAAGTTAGTACAAGACAAGGAGTTTATGTTGGTAAGGAAAAAAACATGAGATCGAACATAAACATAATAGATAGGGATGCGTTAGAAATGCCGATGAAAAGATGTCAATTTTACGTTGTGTTAGTTTCAAGTTAGATTATAACAGATTGAAATACAATTCATTGGTGACGTCGGAACACAGTAAAACAATGTTAAGGAGGACTGTAACGGGAAGGCGGATGTAAAGGAAAAACTGGAGTCGGCGACCTTACTTTCCCACAGTTTGAGCAATATTAGGACCAGCCGAAATGATGATATCCTCATATGGTCCACGTTGCTCAACATTGATCGCCTGCGACTTCTTGAGCACGAGCAGCGTATAGAACTTCTGTGCTGCTGTCTTTCGAGTGGCACCCTTCGTCAAAAGATCACTCAAGGCAATCTGCAATATGATAGTAAGTGCTGTTCTGAGCTATATCGATTGCACAATCCCACTTAAAAGCATTTGCAATTTAAGTCAACATATTTATTATACGTGGCATTGCATCAGCGATTCT